GCTGAGAAAAAAAAACAAAAACAGCAGTTGACATGAACATAGCTTGGATTTGCCGTCCAGGAAGCGGAAGCCGGACCAAATACCAAACATACTGGGGATTGACACCGTTGCAGGTGTCAATCAACTCCCGAAAAACCCGCCAACCCTGAGCACCAAGGTCTCCAGCCAACAGCCCTTTAAGGACTTCTTCCACTGATCCATGCGCACCTTCGTACCTTCAGCCGGTGAGTGTCCACCGACGAATCGAGCAGGACATGAGACATGATGATTCCCTAAGGATCCGGTAGCGGGCCCTCGAACAGGTCGAACCCTCAGGTGCGTGGGGCCCCCTGCAAACGGATCCTGAAGGGGTCGACCTATCGACCTCCTGTGCGGTGCTTCCGCATCTCAACGTGCCGCGATGCGATTCCGGGTGCGAAAACCGGCTGCTGAAGGGCGCGCCGTTTCGTCATGGTGCTTCGGAGGATGTGTTTTTTTGGGGTGGTGCTTCTAGGGATCCAAGTACCTTCTCAGAAGGTGAGGACGGAGACACTCTAGGTGCCAGGAGGGTCCAGTCGTAGCTTCTGAGGTTCGGTACCACTGGATCCCTAGGGACATCAACTCAGGCCACTGTCTTCTCATGGGCTCCGAGTCCAAACGATCTCGGACACCACGGGGATGCGCACGGCACGGTGCGGAACCCTTCAGAGAGTCTGTCAATGGGGATGGGTCCACTAAGCCACGAGCAAGTGCATCGCTGCTAGGAACAAATGCATCGCTACTAGTAGCAGATAGCTACTAGTTAGCGAGGGCCTCCAACCTAATAGCGATGGCCTCCACCGTGCGTAGCTTCTTGTTACTCGTAATGCCTTGCAATATCTCGTAGCGATACCAAAAAAACACCGATGGGGCCCCATCCGCCACGTGTGTGGAAACCCGCTCGCCTTACTCGGACCCACGTGGACCGCTGTCGCTCGCGACACGCGGCAGCGAACGTCGGGAGAGCTGGCCTCGTCGATCGTTCCACTTCAAACGCTGGTGTGTGGGACCCCCGCCAGCACAGCATCCGGCCGCCCATCCGCTCGCCTGCACGGCCCTTCCACTTGGTCTTGGGCTCTGCCTGAAGACATGTCAAGGCACAAGGTCCAAAGGCACAGCACATGCACCGATCAAGACCAATGCTTTGGAAATCTTTTGAGCATCTACAGCCTATGATCATCTATCTATGTGTGTTTCTTTCGTTGATTCCTTCTGAAGCAAAACGGCTTGTTTGCACCATGGGCATTGCAAAGCAGAGGCGTTGTGTGTGGTCTTGAGAGCCTTCACCAAACCACGGAGGGAAATTTCAGGATTCCTCGTGAGCCAGGACTTGATGTCTTTTGAGCACTTGGGCGCTATTCTATTTTGTGGTGAAGTGCGATGATTGCGTTTGTTAAGTCTGCAGCTGTTGGCGGTATGCAAAAAGGCGACAGTTGTTTGTGGATTTCATAAAGTTGAGAAGGGATAAGTTATTTTGTCACTAAATTTGACATTGTGGCATATTGTGGCCCTCTCTAGCTTTGTGGGCCCAGCACAAGCTCGCTTTCTGCAGAGTCAAGGTGTAGCTTTGGCATTGATTTTACCATTTGCAATGCAAATTTCCCGCAGTAAGCTGCGGTGGTCTTGTGCAAATCAGAGTGGCAGTCTCTCCCCTGCGCATGGAACGTTCTAGTTTTGGAATTGCAGTGCAGGGTGGTCGGCGTGTGGTGGCTCACGGGGAAATGGACACCCACCTGTTTGTAGAGGAAAAATGGTCTTCGTCTTCACAGATGATAGTTTCCACTTCCATGTTAGTGAGTCAGAGTGTAAAGCAGCTGCTGTCAACTGTTATGTCCACACCTTTGAGCAGGGATTGAGCAGTGGCACGGTTGAACTTGAGCCGTAGGGCCTGCTTGCCTGCTTTCCAAGGGAGGCCAAGAGGCTAAGCCAAGAACCTCATCCATCTTCATGTTCCTGTCAATGGGTCTATCCTAATACCTAACCGTGGATGATGATTGTTAGTAAAGGCCTTGTCCAAAAATAGTGCTAATTTTGCTGACTGTTGCGGGTAATGGGACAAACCCAATTCATGTCCATGACGGTGGTTACGATGTTCATTCATTGTTGAATTTTGTTTGTTTCTCTTTGTTTTAATTTGCTTCGGTTGTTTTTCTGTGTTTCCCTTGTTTCTTGTTTTTGTTTGTTTGATTGTTTTTCTTGACCCGGCCCGGACAAAACCGTTGACACGCGTCCCTTCTCCCACCACTCTCGCCAGGAACCGCTGGAAACCGCCGTTCCTGGCCTTCAACACTGCTTTGACCTTTGGAGGTGCCTTCGCCAAGGGATCGCGCGCGTGGCGGGACTCGTCTTGGGTGACCATGTCCGTTGTGCGGTGCATCCAAAAAAGAAAAGGCTTTGGTGTGTAAGAGCCACAAAGGCACCACACATGAAAATTCCCCAATGTTCGACATGGGGTGCATTCCAAAGCAAATCTGCACCTCACATTCTCCACGCGTTAGAACGATATAACCCACAGCACACGCAACCACGCAGCCACTCCTTGGCCTTCACTTTCAGAGGCGCCTACCGCGGCCGAATCATCTTTTGGGTCTCGAGAAGGGCCGGCAGTCCCACAGAAGCTTGGAATCAACACGTCAACCTGTGTTAAATCTCGATTGAGTAATGATGTTTTCTCACGTAAGAAAAATTCATTCCTCAATCTCATGTACCAGGACCATCTTTTGTCGTGTCCTGGCTGGACTACCCCACTAGGTCTCCAGACAAGGCATCGGCAGTCCCGAGTGTCTGGGAGATGTGATACCTATCGAAGCGGCCACCGACCGCTACGAAAAAAACATCGCGAAACAAACACCTGCGGAACGAAAGCCAGGAACAACCACCTGCATGGTGTATAGGAAGTGGACTGTCACAGAAAATAACAAATCACCTGATCCGCAAAGCCAGGATCTGCCACTTTCAGAGCTCTCCAGCTGCACACGGACCACGGAGAAGCTGGCCTGCCTCCTGCGCGAGAGGCTTGGGCATCACAATGGGCTTGAAGACGCTCCTGGGTGCCAGGTGGCTGTGCATCCGGAGATATCCGCAGTTGTCGGCGTGTGTGGTCTTGGGTCTGATGATTGATCACTCAGTTCTTCAAAACGGGGAATCAGCAACGCCACTCTGGAAAAGATCCTGAAAAGAACTGGGGAGAGTGGGACACAAAATTGCCCCAAAGCGGCACCAAACTGCCCCGAGCTGCTAACAGGTCCGGTCCACTGGTCCATGGTTTCAGGAGTAGATGGCACAGACCTCAAGATATCCTTTACATGGGGGGCTTCATGTAAACCACTGACCAACTGGGGGTCACTTGTGCCGGCCCTCTCGAAATCCACGAAATAACAGCTCCTTCAGAGTCCTTCATTCCTGAAAGGACTTCTTCCGTCCAAGGCTCGCTCTCGCTTGGACCACATTCCGCTGGAACTTCCCGAGGCTCCAAGGGTTGCTGACCGAGACCTGACCGGAGCGCTAGGCCACTAGGCCTGCCGAGGACCACATGAACCCCCCTCAACCACGTCGGGGTGTGTAGAGGAGAATCCTCTGAAGCAGGGGTCGATGCTCACGGTCCAAAGCCCCAAAAAAACCAGTGAAGGGAGCAGTGCACTGACTGGATACGTGATGGGAGCTAGGCCTGGGCCTGTCTTTGGGAACGCTTCCAGTCCAGCTTTCGGCGGGTTTTCATCTGCAAAGCCTTTGGACCCAGCGGAGGCGCCGTTCGGGACCGATGGAGACATCATGGCCGCTGGGCGATCGCTAACGAAGCAGATTGGCGACGTCTCCACCCAGAGGCTTCTCTGGGGTGAAGGGTGACCTACTTGGATGGGTGAATTCCAGTTTCTGGCGGGAACTCCGAACGCGCCCTTGGGCTGCACTGCATCGTGAGAACAGCGAATGAAGGACCTTCTTTGACGCTTCAGGATGAACTTTCGAGACTCCCAAGACAGAACCCCCCTCCACACTTGGATGCTCAAGAGCCATGGCGCCAGCTAGGCTGTGCAGGTCACAGGCGGTGCGGCGCGTCCCCGTCCGCGGGCTGCTGGAGCCACCCCGGGCGGAACCAACGTCCGGGCCACCGGGCACGCAAGCCATCGATGCTTGGGAAGCCGACCACTGGAACCTCAGCGTTGCGGTTTGGACCGCCGTGGGGTGGAGAACAAGTCCTGAGTGAATGGAGTCGAAACCCACACATGAGTGATTTCAGAGGTGAGAAATGGCAGATGCCAAACCCCAATGGCAGGCCTTAGCCTTAGACAGATCGGGGGGTCCATCTAAACCACTGAACTTGGGGGCTCTTGTAATTGAAACCACATATGAATACTTACGGTTGGCGGCCATCGCTCTGAGGTTGTAGGCCATCGCAAATAGGTTGGAGGCCATCGCTACTAGGGTGGCTATTCCGGTTGGTTCATTCGGACATCGGTCGAACCTTGTAATTCTTCTTATTGTACCAGAGGTGAGCATTGAGCATTCTTGAACTTTGAAAACCATGAACTAGTAACTAGACACAACTAGACCGTTTGATGCCAAAGGCCTTCCCAGGAGTTGTGTGCATAGATGTGTCATGGTGTGTCACTACAACCGTGGAACAAGCGCCGGGGACGCACCACGCAAGCACTAAGAAATGATCTGCGGTGTCACCGATGTGGCATCCCTTAGGTGTGCATGGAAACCAATTTGTCTACAAAATTACTTGGGAATGATGGGAATGTCCACCGAGGCTTTCGTATATATATATATACTTTTAGCCCACGTACTGATTTGCATACAGTAAGGAACCCGGAAATTCCCCAGAAGGATCCAGAAGGGGATATTACCATAGTGAAAACGTGAAAACATGTGAAAACCAACCACAAAAATATCTTAAACAAAACCAGGACTGCTTTACTACCCTGTGGTGGTGTGGACGCCCCTTGGTCTCCACCATCCACGGTCGCTCCAGCTCCCGCCCCTTTTCCGCGATGGCTGCATGTGCGATCTGGCCTGGCGGACCCGCGGTCGGCGCCCAAAACGAAGAGGGTTGACACAGCGGGCACCCGTTCGCAGCTGATACTTGGAGGGGGGAGGCAGCATGAGAAGCTCTTTCTTGATGGGCAACATCTTGGAGCCTCAGGAATCAATGAGGCTCAAATGAGAATCTCCCCTTACATTAGTACTATACCGCATGACATTTGGATCCATTATCTTGAAAATGATGGAAAAATGCTCTTCAACTGATGCAGCATGTCGTCAATCAACAAGCCTTCGGATGCCTTGTGCCAAGAAACTCTCAGAGGTATAGGTATAGATTGGGTCTGTCTATCCCAGATAACACTGGATGATGATGGTAAGTAAAGGCTTTGTTGAAAAGAAGGTATGAATTGCTTGCAGACTGTTACAGGCAAGTTCGGACAAACCCAACGTATAGACTCTGGAGTTTGGGACCGCCGGACGCTTTGGGTGGCTGGTTGGCTGATTCCGCCCAGTACCTAGAATGCAGGGTCACCTTTTTGAGGACGTGAACATCGTGAGTTATGGATGTTGAAAGACAGGAGTTGACGCAAGTTCTTGAGTGTTGATGCCTGCAATGCTTTTCAAGAGCTTACACCGCCGGCCCCAAGGAGCTTCAACCTCCTTCCGGCAGGACCAAGTGCCTACAGAGTCCGTTATGAATTCCGTCCTGCTGACAGCAATCCCGAACAGCAAGACACTTCTTAATTAGTTCAATCCTCTTAAGTGTCACGACCAATTGTAAAAGAACACACACCATATATGACGTCAAACCGTCCAAATATATGATGGCCATAGCAAACCATCCAATCTCTACCAGCACCTTCATGTCAGGGGTCACCTGGCTGGTTTCGCCCCAGCCCACTACTAAGGGACCTCCAGACAGGACACCCCGAAAGAAGGTCCAGACAGGACACCTCTTTCAGCGCCCTCACGCCCTCGCGCCCCGACCTCAGCGCCCTCGCCGCGGCCCATAGCTCGCGTCGGGCGCTCGTGGTGGCGGGTGGCTCGGCGGCGGGGGCGGGTCAGGGCGCCGGTGCGCGTCCTGGGAGAGGTCGCTGGGGAAGCTTACACTAAGCGTGTGGAACACCGGACAACCCCCACCCGGTTTCAACCGACAGATGCCATCAAAGGTACTGTGCTATATATATGTATCCTATAATATATGTGTATATATATATATACATGATTCCATATAATCTTGTTCAGTTTGGGTAGGGATCATGGAGTGGTGCTGCAACTCTTCAACCGCACTGAGCTGTTCTTTCAATCTGTCATCTGCGAACCAAACGACCGACGGTGACCGACGTCCGCACGGTCTCCGTCCTGGTAACCACCTCTGTCTGGTCTCTCCATCCGCACCTGTCCGTCCCCGTGCGACGAGCGACAACTCGTCCACGCGGCGGCGTGGATTCGCCCGGAGGACATCGGCGGGTGTGTTAGAGGAAGCCGGGAGACAAATAGAAACATCTTCATCCGGGGTTGGGGATTGACCCCAGTTCGGGACCGGAAAATCACCCACGGGGTGATGGCCTTATCAGGGCCCCCATTCAGGGGTCCATGTAGCCATGTATTACAGACATGGAGCATCTGGAATACCCAAACGCTCCATGTATGCCATATATGCCTACCTTGGGCTGGTTTGGGGGGGGTCAATGTAGGCATGTATATATATATATATATGGCATACATGGAGTGTCTGCATGGAATATATTCCTTTGAGGACCGTGGCGACCGGTGCTGCATGAGAACCGTGTCAACGAGCACAGGAGTGGAGAAACCGAGACGACACGCGCCACGAGACGACATCTGCCTTTCCACCATAGGGTCATGCCAGGATCAAAGAGGAATCTCTTAGCTCTGAGGCTCTCTCTCCATGTCTCTACTGAAACGAATTCCCTGAAGTCCAAGACCAGGTTAAAATTGTTGATCTGGTTTTGTGGTGTAAAATCCTTGGTCAAACAAGGGTTGTTCGGGATTCAGGCTATCTATATAAGAGTCATGGTGGGCCATGACTTAGCGGATCCCGTTTGAGGCCCATCGATCTTCAAGACCGAACATTCAAAGCCTCTGATGGTGACATCGCTTCCGAAAATAGGAGAATCATATATAGACGGATTAGACTATAAAGTGGTCCCCGAACACGGAGTGGCACGGTTTCCAATACATTTGGAGCGGGGACGAACCGAACTATCTATGACTGGTGGTCTGGCCGTTAAAAACTGATGATCTCGCCCAACTAACTGTGCAGGACTTCTCAAGCACAACAGGAGAAAGCCAACTCAAGGCCCCCTTTCCCCAGCAATCTTTGATCTTCATCTTCGTCCTCACGCCATCGCTATTTAGGTTGGAGGCCATCGCTATTGCGTCCGTGCTCCTAGTAATCAATGCCCTTGTTCCTAGTAGACATGCCCGTGTTACTATAGTAGTAAGAATGCTCCTAGTAGCGATGCCAGGCGCCCGCCTCCGTGCGCGGATCCCTCCGACCACTTCGGCTGCGCTCGTAGCCGCCCCGGGGCCCCGCGTCTCGGGGCGCGTCGCCCGGTGCCCGGGTGGTGCGACCGCGAGAGGCGCGCCTGAGAAGTGGAAGATTTACATCACTGCAACTGCAAGAATGGCCTCCAACCTTATAGCAGTGGCCTCCAACCTAATAGAAGTGGCCTCCAACCTAATAGAAGTGG